GCATAACGGTCCATTGGTAGTGGCCGTGAGGAGTGCTGAATGCCGTGAGCGGTTTGGACTTCTTTCGCAGTTTGATCTGCCAAAAGCCTGCTTTACAATCAAACTTACTAAAGATGGTGGTTGAGTCTGTCTGCGCCGTCTTTGACACGAGAGGGGATATCCAGTGTAGTCATGCTAACGATTTCTTTTAAAAAAGCGGTAGTAGTCTGAATCTGGTGTTCACCATTCATATCAGAACCATAGTAATAGGTGATTGTAGTGATGAAGAGATCTAAATAAGTGCCATGTTGTGAAATGGGGAACTTATTGAGGTCATCTTTTCTTGTCCAGGTGGGGACTGTAGAAAAGTCGTATTTATACGAGGAAGTATAGACTTTGGGTTCAGCTGGTTTGGCCCCCAAAAAGGCAAGAAGGCTTCAAAAATGGTTAAACAATTACAGACAGATAACCTCTGTGTTGTCTATGGTAGCGACATCACCGATCCCTCTACCATCCTGTATGAACTCTCCAGTAGTGTTTATACCAGTAACTCGTCTAGTACCACCCCCAGCGATATAAACGACGAGGCAACAGATATTCAAAATATCTGCATGATGAACGTTACTCCTTCCCTCCCAGAAGAGAACACGAACATCAAACTTAGTGACATCATTGGAGAAGAAGTTCAGCTCACAAACAAACAACTGATTCAGTTCGATAAACTCCAACGGATCAAAAAAGAAGAAGTCTACAAAACTTCACGATTTGCCATCTTTTCCAAACGAATTTTAGAACAATTCAGTGGAAATACAACAATTGACTATACAGCAAATGGTCAATGTGGTTTTAATATCCTCAGCAAGGATAAGATTGAGCGCTGGAAACAACAAAATCCTATCGCTCGTTATATTCATATTGGACTAGTGCAAATCAAGATCACTTCGCTGTTTCGACGTGGCACTGATCAACCACTCATTGCACTCCTCATGGACAATCGTTTTCATAAACCCGTTGATGCACTTATTGGCGGTGTTCAATCGAATTTTGTTAACAACCTCATCTGGTTTAAAATCAAACCAAATTTTTTCATTTCACTGACGGACCCAAACATCGAAAAGGTCCTCCAAGTTAAACTCCAATTGTCCAAACTACAAATGGATTATGATTCCCCTAGCCTTGGAATCCAGTGGAAAGTGCTCTATGAACTCACTAGAGAACCCGAAACTGCTACCGTTCCTACACTTGACTCAAAACTAGTCACCTTGTTTGAACTGCGACCTTTTGATACCATAATTGAGCCTAAACTTCTCAATTGGACAGATCTTGAGATCCCTAAAACTTGGTTATTTGATAACATCAATTCTGTACCCAAGTTACGTATCACAGAACCCACTGTGGCTACAATACACGCCTCCGGCTCCAATCTTTATATTACAAATAAAGCAAAACCGCCTCAGCTACAACGCTCTGTATCTGAGAGAAATCCTGGATGGGAAAGAATCCTTCCCCCACGAAAGTCAGCAGAGGTACCTCCTCGACGACGTTTTACTTGGACAGAAAAAGGCAAAGCTCCTGTCGATCCTCATGATGCTCCCTTTTTGCCTGGATCAACTCATAAACTTAACTCTGCAAAATTCTTCCATTTCCGCACCGGAAAAGATGAATTTTTAATTGCTCCTTCGCAAGGCAAAAAGCGAAAGTATACTTATGTTAACGGCATTCTCAACTTCAAAGGATATAAACCCTATAGCCTTTGTACAGGTGCAACCACCAGTTGTTGCCGATATAATGCTCTGCCATCTGAAAAATGGCAGCAAATGAAACACCCCATTGGCGTTCAGGGCATTGATGCTGAAGCACCCTTAAATGTGATTCAGTTTAAAGCAAAAGACGTAGCAATTTGGCTTAATGATAAAAAATTCATTATCCCAAAAATCCTGTGTTTTCCATACATGCACGGTGATTTCATTTTAGGATGTAACTTTATCTATAGTTATCTTCCTTTACAGTTAAACGAAAAAACCATTTCGTTAACACTGAAAGATCAAACATTCGTTGAAATCCCTATTCAGGAAAATTTAGCCTCTGTTTGTAATGAAAAGTTCTCTCCACCCAAAAGAGACTCAGACTTATTGGTGCTACAAGACACCCATTGGCTCTACAACTCACTTCGGCAAAACTTCGCTGAAAATCCACTTACCCTGTGGAAAAGAAGTCCTCGTTTCTGTCGACTGCAACTCAAAAATCGCAATGTCATCATTAGGGTTAAACCAATGATCTATCTACGCCGCGACATTGATGAATTTGATGCACAACTTCAAGACCTCCTTGAGAAAAAACTCATTGAGCGTACTCGCAGTCCACACAGCAGCCCTGCTTTTATGGTTAGAAACCATAGTGAAGTTAAACGTGGAAAAGCCCGCATGGTCATCAACTATAAAAGGCTCAATGAACATCTCATTTTCGATGGGTATGTTATCCCACGCAAAGATGTACTCATTAATCAAACGCGAGGATCCACCATCTTTAGTAAGTTTGATTGTAAAGCAGGCTTTTGGCAGATCAAACTGCGAAAGAAGTCCAAACCGCTCACGGCATTCAGCACTCCTCACGGCCACTACCAATGGACTGTTATGCCCTTTGGTCTTAACACAGCACCTCAAATCTATCAGCGTTGGATGGATTCTATCTTTAATGATCTTAAAGATTTTGTTGTTGTTTACATAGATGATATTTTAGTTTTCTCTAAAACAAGAGATGAGCATAAAAAACATCTATTCTGTCTTTCAGAAAAACTGAAAAAGTACGGCATCATTCTATCTCCAACCAAGATAGATGTTGAACAAGAATCTATTGATTTTCTGGGATTAGTTTTAACTCACAAAGGTATAAAACTACAGGATCATATAATCATTAAGATTCGTGATTTCCCTGACACTATTCAAGATAAAAAGCAACTTCAAAGTTTTTTGGGAATCTTGAATTATGGCCGCTCTTTTATTAAAGGGTTAGCTCAAAAGGAACTCCCTTTATTAAAGAAGCTACAGAAAAATGTCCCTTTTGATTGGACTGATAATGACACCACCATTATCCAACAGATCAAAGCTGATCTGGTCCATATCCCTGAAGTCTATTATTTATGAAAAAGAACTTCTGGCAATAAAATTGGCAATCAAACGTTTTCATATTTATCTCGCTCCAGAAGATTTTATTATTCGAACGGATAACCAAGCCGTTAAAGATTTTCTGATCAATAAAAGAAATTGCTTAGACGGTCGCCGCTTGAAATGGTATAATGTCATTGCTCAATATTCATTTGCTATTGAACATATCAAAGGCACTAATAATTTTCTTGCAGATTTCCTGAGCAGATTCCCAGAGACATCTAACAAAGATTTATCTCTCCCTATGCATACAGATGGCTGATCAACTTACAGATACAGAAGGTTGGATTACCATAGCTAAAAAAGCTATATCCAAGCCAACTCCATCCCAACCAACTCCATCACAACCAAACAAATGGTTTGTGGTTTTTGCGGGTCACCAGCCTGGTATCTATGAAACCTGGAATGACTGTCACAAACAGCTTCGATCGTTTACAGGTTCCTGCTTTAAAGCTTATGACACGCTTATAGAAGCCCAAACAGTTTTCTATAATGTGGGACAAGCTTCACAAAAAATGTTTTCCAAAACTCCAGATATTGCAGAAATTAACAATTTCTATGATCCTGGACTTCCAAACAAATTTTATGATGAAATTAACAATGTTTGGAAAGCACATAAACTTTGTGCCAACAAGAAATTCAGACAACATCTGAGTTCTCTTACTGCCCTTATAGCTGAACAAGCAGCTATGACGGATGAGCTTAAAAAGCTCTGCATACAGATCTGTCTTACTATTGACTGGGAAAAAGATTTTTCGCTTTCTCAAATCAATTGTTTTCTCAAACTTGCCCAGTTGGTATGAGAACAAGATTTTCCTCACAATACGTTTGCAAAAATCAATCGTATCTGTCTTCTTAAAAAAGCAAGAGACTTGTTTCCTCCAGATCTCTTTCGGATTATCTATCGCAAGATTGAAGATCACTATGCTATAATAAAAAACTATTATGCAATGTTCCATGAAGATATCAATACCTTTGATATGCTTTACAACGGTAAACGAGTCCCTAAGCTTACCTTTTTTATCATTCCTGGGATTGATTGGTCTATGGACCCTATTGATTGGGGATTAGTAAACAAAATTACATTTTCCTCCCATGATTCTTATCATTTTTTCCCAGCCATGATAAAATCCATGATTTACAAAGTAAGCAAACACTGGCAATACAGTCGTCATCTGACTTTTTGGGTTTCCAGCTCCATTGGAAGTTACGAAAAAACTCGTTTCTTTCAACCCTATCAAATATGGTATCTCAAGCTCACCGCACATGATGAGTACGAGCATAATCGACTTTTAAATTCTGAGGAACTGGCCAACAGTATTGTTCCTTATTACTTTGAAATCCACAGTTTCTTACATCTACAAGACACTGCGAGACGGTTCCTTGATGGTTCTTATTATAACCAAGAACCAGTTTTCTATTGTTGTGACGGACGCAGACTCTTCATCACTACAATCACCTGTTACTATGGTTCTGATATGAATGGTGAACACCAGATTCAGACTGCTACCGCTTTTTTAAAAGAAATCGTTAGCATGACTACACTGGATATCCCCTCCCGTGTCAAAGACGGCGCAGACAGACTCAATCTTGAATGGGATATTGCCGACGCACAGTCACCTGCCTGTACTCCTCCACTTGATGAATATGAACTCCATAATATCATCAATGCCATGGAAGGCTGAATCGACACTCTTCTCCACTCGACTGCACCAATAATTCAGCACACGACAGAAGACGTTGTCAGGTCTACTTTCCCAAAAGCAAAAGTAGCCACAAAGCTGCCGACAAACTATTCATCAACAGTGAAAGTTGCCGACACTCACTTTTTCAAACAGTAAAAGAAAAGATTCGTTCTTATCTTCTCCGGAACTGTTTACCTTTTGTAATGTTATTTAAACCGAAGCCCCAGAATGGTTTTAGGTATCTGTTTTTCACCATCTGTTTTAGTTTCTGTGTCTTTTGTAAATCTCTCAGTTTCCCCTTGTCTTGTAAAGTTCTGTTATAATTCCGCATGTGTTTGTATTTGGTATTTGGTACATCCAATTCATCAACCATATAATTGCTATTTACCTCAATGCGTTCTAGCAAATGCAGGTGCCTTGTTGTTATGATGATTCTACTTCCGAGACCAAAGCAATTTTTTCGGACACTATCTGAGTGGCAACTAAATGCAAATAATTGGTCTAGTTGATCCACATCATCCAAAACAAGTAGGATCCTTGTATTGCACAACCTATCTTTTATAACCATGATTCCTCGATCAACATTGCCCACCTTTCTGACTTCTGACTTTAGTACATTGGAAAGAAACTGCTCTTGCAAAAGAATTTGTTTTTCAGGTGACTTCGAATTCTCTTTGACGTTTGCCAAAAAACTTTTGCTTTCAAAACTATGGAATAAATGGTTAAAAACAGCTTTTGCAAGGGTTGTCTTCCCTATTCCGCCCATCCCACATATACCCACCGCGCGGACATCATGAGTTGCAACGCTCAACTGAGAAATTATGTATTCCATACGAGTATCGATTCCAACTGGATGGGTCGTCACATGTAAGTGCGTGTGATTCAATTCACTCAAAATTCTTTCAACAATTTTCTTGATGAACTCTCCTTCGTGCCTGTTTATGATGTTTCAACATAATATATGGACATATATATCTCAGACAAAAATCAATAAAAATGAGTGGAAAAAAAAACAAAAAAAATGAAACTAGGAATATAGAATTTAACAAACTTGAATCAATTTTCAGAAGTTTGGTTCTAGGCGCTTCTAGCCCCTACGACTGACATAAAAGAATATAGATTGCTAAGTGGACTAAAATGTCCTCTAGTTGTTTACTTGTTATATCAGTTATGGAGCAGTAATATGCCATGTTTAGTTTTACACAGAGCCAGTGTTACTGAATCTATATAAGCATATATCTGAGATGATGCCAATAAAATCAAAATATAAGCATAAGCATCCGTTAGAAATAATCTCATAGTTACTAATTAAGATTACCCGTCAGTGGCATCTAAATCCCACCCAGATAATTCCCCTGCCTCAGCCAAGGCTGCCCTCCAACTTGACACCTTGTTTATGTCCACCTTTTGATGTTTGGCAAATGCTTCCCCAAAGCTTCCAGTTTGTATCCTCACATCTGATGGATTGACTTTGTAAAATATGGGTAGTACCAACTGACAGAATTGCTTCCTGCACTTCAATATCTCCACAAGTTCATCTAGACACCATCTGGAGGTTGCGTAATTTTGGGAGAAAACAACCAAGAAAATGTTGGATCCATGAATTGCTTGAAAAAGCTCGGATGAGATTTTTTCACCTCTTTTCAGTTCATTTTTGTCCCTGAAAGTGGTGATTCCAACACTGTTCAGTCTGGAATAGAGGTGATCAGTGAAGTTCTTGCCGGTGTCTTCGCCTCTGTAGCTTACGAACACGTCATATTTCCATCTTTGAACTGGTGCAGAGGAGGAAGCAGCTTCAATATTTCTGCTTAACATGGACATTGCCGTGGGAAAGAACTTGAGAGGGAGAGACACACACACCTAAAGGTTCCAAACAACACAAGCAGTGTACGAGATATAATAGAAAGAGCAGATTGGTGAGAAAGAGGAATGGAGTACTACTACTTCATAAAGAATGAGTGTGGAAGTTCTTTAAATCGTCGGTGGTCATGAAAGCCTTTTTTCCTAGTGGGGATGGAGCTTTATACCACTTTAGACACTGCGCATGTTAGTGCCTATTATGATGCCTGGTCAAGTTGCCATGACCCACAAGCAAGACCAACACGACGTTAAAGTTGTTCAAAGTGCTGACGTGGCATCATATTCCTGTGATTGCTATTCCAAGGTCTTGCTAGGCTTGGAACTTTTACTAAATACACAGTTGTGTGTAACTTTGAATCCAAATGGAGTGTGTAAAAATTGAGTATACAACAACAGATGATTTTTCTTTACTTAGGTTTTATGGATAATTTTACCATTTACATGTATTCCTGTGATTGCTATTCCAAGGTCTTGCTAGACTTGGACCTTTTACTAAATACACAGTTGTATGTGTGTGTAATTGTGAATCCAAATGGAGTGTGTAAAAATTGAGTTTACAACAACAGATGATTTTTCTTTACCTAGGTTTCATGGGTTATTTTCCCATTTATATACTTCTTCAAAAGGATTTATACATAGCATGTCACCAAACTCCAAACCAGGTAATTTTCATGACTTTTAAAAGATAGTTTTATCCACTGATCTTCTTGTTCAGATTTACATATAACTAAAAAGACTTCACATATCAACTAGAAATGATCAAAGTCAACTTCTTAAACTGAATGCAACTAAGTGCAAATTAGGGTTAAGTGCATTTAACCCCTTGAACTTTCTTCTCTTTTTTTAAGAAACTCTCCTGAGCTATTCAAAAGATACTTAATTAACCCCCCAACTATTTCTTTTGTCACAAAAAGTTAGATGACCGTCTAAAATCTAGTGTCCAGGGAAGGCAAGTGATACACGTTACTAGGCAAAAATTCAGAAAGACAAAAATAGCCATTCGACATTAAATTAATATTACATATACAAATACATATATACATATGAATATAGGTCCCTCCACTGTGATAATCCAAATTTTTAGAATTTTAATTTATATTTATTTCATGATTTTTTTATTGTTTAAATTAATTATTGGTAATGAAGGAAGTTGATGGGTTGGATTTTGTCACAAAGTTAATGTATATGTGTGTGTGTATATATATTGGTGTGTCGTATGAAGTAAGGAGGAGTTGCCAGCCGTGGGAGTAGAGAGAAAAAGAAAGAAAATGGAAATAGAAAGAGACACCTGGCCGAGATAGGAAGAAAGGAAAAGGAAATTGTGATGGTTTCTTAGCGGGCCCCACTTTAGACTTTTAATGGGTTGTTTTCATGCATCTATATATATATATATATATATATATATATATATGGTATGTTATCTAATGATGGGATGATAGAAGGGACCAGCCGAAGTGAAAAATGAGAAAAGAAAATTGATGATGTTTTGCGGGCCCACAAGGAAACGTCCAAGTTTTAAAAACTTTATGAGGGATTTTCATACATAGATCTTGATTTATCACATAGAGACAAATTTTATGCAAAAATAAAATATGATGCATCATTCAATTAATAGATTGAATACTTACATCAAAGGTTTGAGTAAATCTTATATCTCTCCTCTAAAGTAAATATTCTCACTTATTGTAAATCCCTTTGCTAAATGTCTTCTCCTTGGATCTCCATCTTCTTGGTAATGGTTTTGCCTTTAAGAATCACCCATAAGCCTCCATGAATGACATTGGAAAACTAGGATTGTGGGAGCCTCCATTAGATGAGAAAGTAAACCTAAAATCTAGAGAGAGAAAAAATAAATTCCTTTTTTTTTTTCAAAAGTCTCTCCTAAAATATACATGAACCCATGTATAAATAGGCAACATAAAAATAAGAAAAGGAAATAATAAATCTTTCTCAATCTTTAAATCACATATCTCAAATCTAATAAGATTTCAATATCAAGTTGGGCTATAAGTAAGAATCCTATTGGGCTTATTATTTTCTTGGCTACAATGAATTAATAATCGGCCCGGTCCATGGACCCAATTAAATTAATTCATTAATTAATTTCTACTCCACTAAAAGAAATCAATTGAACTCCAATTAAATAATAAATAACCTCTAAGTCAATGTTGTACTTTGACACCTCTATGCATAATTAGTTATTGGATAAATACAATCATCAATCCGACTACTTAATTAAGATATATTTATTTTGGTACCTTTGATTATTTCTGACTTGATCACAATAAAACATTTGTTTGACAAAAATAATAATTTAAATAAATAAATATATAATAAATCATTTTGTCTAAAAATACACGAAGGCCTTCGAATTTAATTTGTGATCAACCATAATCAATATAAAATAAATACAAGTAACATTAATGCAAATATTGAGAATATAACTCTCTAACTAGTAATTACATAACTACTCAAAGTGTCGGTCTAAGAATCCCGAAGTATCCGTCGAACAAATCAAAATAATTATTGATTAATAAAAGAGTCTATAATTCTCTCATACTTAAGAGTCAAATGCCGTGACAATGATAGAGAGTAATTGCATACGACGGCTTTCGCAATATATCTCAACCTAACGCGGATCCAGTTCAAGTCTTAGTTAATAATGAATCAATCCATGATTACCGATTATGAACTATTTATGATTACTATTTATATTCATGTATTGATCGTCATCACATACATATATAAATATCTCTTGTAATTAAGTGGACACTATCAATCCCATAATGAATCGAAACATAATACATTTAATTCACCAATTGTATAAAGCATAAATATTTCAGATACGTCAGGAACATATGTCACTTTAATCCAAATAGGAATTCGCTATGCCAGGGCATATAAATCCCAACAGTTGATGGGTTTGATTTTGTCACAAAGTTAATGTGTGTGTGTCTGTGTATATATATATATATATATATATATATAGATATATTTATTGGTGTGTCGTGTGAAGGAAGGAAAAGCTGCCAGCCGTGGGAGTAGAGAGAAAAAGAAAGAAAATGGAAATAGAAAGGGACACCTGGCCGAGATGGGAAGAAAGGGAAAGGAAATTGGGATGGTTTCTTTGGAGGGCCCCACTTTAGACTTTTAATGGGTTGGTTTCATATATATATATATATATATATATATATATATATATTGTATGTTATCTAATGATGATGAGATGATGGAAGGGATCAGCCGAAGTGAAAAATGAGAAAGAAAATTGGTGATGTTTTGTGGGCCCACAAGGAATGGATATGTTAAAGGAGTTTGAATTGGCTTTTGTTTTACATATATATAATATACATATATTGTTTGATTGAAGAAGTGAAGGGGAGCAGGTTCAGTCGAAAGTGGGAAAGGATTGAATTTGTGATAATGATGATGGGCCCACTAATGAGACTTTTGACCATTTTTTTTCCTTGGCTTTGAAATTTCACGTGGCTGGGATTTGTTATTGTTGATCGATATTGTCTATGGAAAGAGATGGAGATATAAAGTTAGATTGTGATAGTAGGCGGGGTCCACTATTGAATAATTATCTTGTGATATCTGTGTAGAGTCGGTGAAGTGCAATTTGCCTTTATATATTAAGTGTTGTGTGGCACTAAGAGATGAATTACAGAAGTGAAATTTGAAACACAAAGAGAGTGAGCCGAAAAAGATAGAGTGAGCAGAGTGAGAGAGAGTGAGAGTCGAGATGAACAGACAGGGAGAGGTTCGAGAGTTGCAGAGGAGGCTGGAAACTAGAGGCTTTGATGATGTAGTGAAGAAAATTCTTTTTCAGGGTAGGGGGTCTCTAATCCATAATCTTCTTGTACTTTTGTGAATTATCTTGTATAAATTGTTACCTAACATGTTTAAATTTGTATAAATTCTTACAAAAATATTGCTTAAATGTTGTGTATGGAATGTTTAATTATGTGTTGAATGATGTATTGTGATCGAGCATGCTTGTATGGACAAAAATTCATGTGTTATAGCTTACCATGGTAGATTATTATTGAATGAAAACATGTATATTTTTTTTTATTGACTTGTAAAGCATGTTGTGTGGTTTAAGTTGAATTAATTGTATGAAAATGAGTATTGGCACGGTATGAAAAGGCATGATGCATTTTATGCATAAGCATTGGGCAAGAAAAATGGGAAAGTTATTTTGAAATGGAATGAAAAAGGGAATTTCTGGGAAGGGATTTTGAAATTAAATGGTTTTGTGAAAAACCCAGACGCCAAGGGGGTACCGAGGGTTCGTAGCGTTAATGTAGCTTAGAGGGAACTAGGGAGATTGCCCTAGCGTGATTGAGCTATCTGGGCCCAAATAACGCAACGAGGCTACTAAGAGTCAGGGACAGTAGCCAATCCTTCGCTCGTGTCGCTGAGGGGCTACCAAGGGACATGTTACATTAACGGTCTGAAAAGTGAGGAAATGGAAAAGATTTTGAAAATGGGGAGCGACATTGCATCTCATTGCATAGCATAGTTCATTACGACTTTGATCCATGGTTATTGATTTCGTTGCTAAGTTCTCCCCGGCATGGCATGACCTCGTTTCCCTTGTTCCTATTCATTGTTTGGATTCACGGGGTTATAAGAAGTGTATCTTAGACACTTCCTACTAAGCTTATGCTCACCCCTTTATTATCAACATTTTTCAAGATACGGAAGGGAAGTAGCGGACGACGCTCCTCCACAGGGTCCTATAGATTAGTGGACTGTTTTAACATATTTTGTAGCTATGATCTCATTTTATTATTATTGCTATTACTATTTTTTTAAAAACCCTGGGATGATACGTATATTATGTATTGACGTAGGAAAGGATGGTAGTGTCCTTAGTTGGCCTTAGGTTTGGATAAGGACCCGGTTAACGATTTAGACCCTCGGATCCGGGTCATTACAAATTTGGTATCAAAGCATTTTTCTTAGAATTTTTGGGTCGTGACAAAATGGTATCAGACCAATAGTTCGAAAACCAGTAGGACGACGGGTAGAGACCTACCTATGGTTGTATGGAAGGTGGATTGCATTGTTTATGTGTTTATATGTTAAAGTGTTTGTTATCTGAGAAGTATGCTTACTTACT